TTCTGAGATTGTGGATTTGGGATTTTCATGAGCTATAAGCCATAATCATCACAGTTATGACAAATCACAGCTTGAACTATTTTGCTTTGCATGTAATGAGTCTATCTCATATATTAGTTTCACCTTTTAAATTGCATTACTGAAATAAATGAAGTTTGTACAATATTCTATTTTTTAGAGTTTCACCTGTAGTTCAAAAATATTGGTGTCATAACCATTATAACTATTTGGTTAAGCTCACTAAAATTGCTTTTGAGCTACTCCTATAGCTTTTGAGCCTTTAAAAGATTGGAGACTAATTTAATCTTTATCTTGTTTTTATCTTAGGCTTGTCTTTTTGTATTGCTTTATATTGGATTATTCTTGATCATTTTTGGTGGAGTAATTTTACAAATTCAGATCTGCATGGACAATTGCTTTTCTTGTGTTTTGTAATTTTTGATTGTACCATATGATTTATAAACACACATTAATTCAAGGGAGTTAATTGCTTTGCATTGTTATAGTTGATACTATCAGGAAATGGAGATATTAATTTACAAATTTTTGTTCTTTCACTGTAAAATCCAGACCATCTTTCTTGATATTTTGATTGTTTTATAGGAGCAAAATCAGGATCTAATATTTCATTTATTAATTTTCATTTCAATATATTGCATGCAATCATTACAAAACAATTGAGCATATAGGTTTCGTAAAAGAAATGCAGAAAGTGTTTCAATTCAGTTTATACAAAGATCAAATAATAGACTAAAATTATTTTTCACAGTATTATTTCATGCTTGTTGGGATAATTTTATAGCCAAGGAGCTATTTGATTTAGAGCCTATGTGCCCTTTATACTAAAGCTTTCTCTTAAGTTATTAGATAAACAGATCATGTTGCCTAATCTGATTGATCAGTTGCATAATCATAGACTTCATAAAGGTATTTCTTCTCTTTTCAGTGATAAGAAGTTTCTAGCTGAAGGTACTGGTGAAACAATATTGGCTGCTGAAGAAGAGGCTGCTCGAGTGGCTTTGCGGAAACTTTATGGCTTCACTGAGAGCAGACAACCCTGGCATTACACTTCTTTGGAATATAAGAAGAAAGCTCAAAAAGCTATTAGCAGTAGTTAGGCAAAAAAAGTCAGGTCCATTTGCAACAATACTGCATTTCAGCAAGAACTTTTTTCTCTTCTGTTCCCTTTTATCTAAATTAAAATGCTTTGAATAAAATGTTCTATCAAAGGATTCATATCTGCATTCATTTCATTGTTGTGGAAAGCAACTCTTCATTTCCTAATACTGTGAATACGTGCATTGTCAACCCAAAGAAAGGGATTATGTATTTCATTTCTTGATGGAGAGCTAAAATTAAATTTGTGCCATTTTTATGATCTCCCAAGTGAATTTGTAGTTGGGTTTGTTTCTTTATCCAGGTTCAACTTTTTGCATTTGTATCTCAGAAATTTGCAATCTTTACCTAATTTCCATCAAAGTTTCTAATCTGTTAAATACATTTGCAAGGACTATGAACATCTACTAGGAATTTCTCATGTGTAATCTCACTAGAGCAATAGTGATTGTACAATATCACGTTTCAATTATGCATTCAAGGGATCCCCGCACATATTTAGAAAGTAGACCACTTGACACAACTTTAAAAACATTCACCTATGTGTGAATATATTTCTATTTCAGCTTTTATTACAATGGAAAGCTCTTGTAGTGTTCAAACCTCTTGAATTTCCTCCGTAAAGTGACATCACCATCTATAAACTATAGAATAATCTCACATACCATTTACATGGGACTGAGGGAGAAAAGGACAGATTCTGTGCTGATACCAACGGAATGATTCTACTACACCTGCTCTTTGTCAAGATATGAGAACTCTGCTGGAATGAAATAAACCATATATTCATAATATATTTACAGAAATAAGAATACTGTATTTCAACATATATAGAAAGTAATTATTTGATGTTCTGAATATATACATTGCATGATAAAACATACAATATCCCTTGCTGCATACACTGCTGATAATTCTGAATCTTAAAGTTCCAGCTCATTGAGAATGAGTCTGGTGGACAATTTACAACAATTATGTGTTTGGAAAGAGTCACAATACAGTGATAAAACACAGCTTTGCATGTGAAAGACTACTTGTATCAGAGGTGGGTTCCTACCAGTTCGCATCTATTCGGTAGAACCGGTTAGAAGAGGTTCCACCAGTGGACCCGGAAAGCAGACCACACCTACAGAAGAGGTTCCAAAATTTTTTGAAACCCACCACTGGTCCTTGGTTATGATTATTCTACACTATCATGCTCATATTTATAAAACTCAATGCCTCTATGAACGGTAAGGATGACTACTGCATTTGTGGTGCAATCAGAACATTGTGTGTGTTGAAGTTGTTTTAATGCAAACCAAAGATGCCTTTTAAAAAACAAGTTTACATCATATTCTTATGCATGCCAGTGCTGTGTGTGAGGTAATTTAAGGTGGTTCTGACAAGTGTCGTCGGCATATTCATATCCGGTCACATGGGCGACAAGCCACTCCCATCCAGTCACATGGGTGGCAAGCCACTCCCACAAAGGAGGCCACACCCACAGAGTAGGTTCAAACAATTTTTGAAACCCACGACTGACTTGTATGTTAAAGGATTTTAGTATATAGCAAAGAAAAATGAAACCAGCTAGTTCAATAATATCCAATAAAATGGTCTAAGAACTAGGAAGGAATTCAACTGCTATTTAACTAGCAAGATATATACAACTCAGCCTCGAGGCAGACGTTTACTTGAGAAAATATAAAATCACCTTTGCTTTTGTAGAAGTTGAAACCAAGGCTTGTCCATGTTAGATAAACAAATGGGAAAAGGAGGGAGTGGCAGCATAGCCAAAATAAAGTTGGTGCTTGTGTCTGTGAGCTACAATCCAACCAAGCAATAATGGTCATAAAAAATAATTACCATATATCTGTTCGCCTCTGATCTCAGTGCTTCTGAAAATTTCTGGCCATTAATACATTATACATTAATATAAAACCAAGCAATAGTGTTAGGTGTGTGGCAGATTGGGTTCACCCCATGTGAAGTCCACTTTATGGCATTTCCATTTAAAAAAAAATTAAATCGGTCAAAATAAGTGAGATGGGAGGTGTCTAAATATGATTTATACATTGCTTAACTATCGTTCTTGGATAAATTACACATTCACTGGATTCATATAGTATAAAAGGTAAAGTTCCCCTGGCACATATGTGCTAGTCGTTCCTGACTAGGAGATAGTGCCCATCTCCATTTCAAAGCCAAAGAATCAGCCGAAGATCTCTCCATGGTCATGTGGCAAGCATGACTAAACACTGAAGGCGCACGGAATGCTGTTACCTTCCCACCAAAGATGGTTCCTATTTTTCTACTTGCATTTTTACATGCTTTCAAGCTGCTAGGTTGGCAGAAGTTGGGACAAGTAACGGGAGTCACTCCGTTACATGGCACTAGGGATTCAAACCTCTGAACTGGTGACCTTTCTGATTGACAAGCTCAGCATCTTAGCCACTGAGCCACTACTTCCCTATTTAATATAGTATAGTATATTAAAAAAGTAGGGATAAGGATAAAATATTTTGGGAGGACACAAGCAAAATTGGGAAAGCCACTCTCCGCCCCCCCCCCTGGTGTTTTTAAGCAGGGGGTGTTCTGCAAGTCTTATTGGTCTGTAGAGCAATACTTACTTCTGTACTTCGGAACAGAAATATGCTATAGCCTTGGTAAGGCATTATTGGGAAGTCGGGTGGAGCAGAAGGGATTCAGAGGCTCATGCAGCAATTTAGAAATCTGTCTGGGCTCATCGACTATGACAAACCAAACTGACGTAGCTGCCTCCACGTACAAGAGCTTTAGGCTCCTGAAAATTATTTGCTGGGAGAAGCCACGGGGACTACTCAAGTAGTAGTGCTTGTGAGTCCTCCACGCTATCCTGACCAGGAATGACCCTTTGATCCCATTCATGGAGATCATGCAATTGCGGGCTAATTCAAATTCAGGAATTTCTTCGTATATTCTTGGAACACGTGGTGTTCGTTACGGACCTCGCACCATCAGTTCATCGCCCCGGCTCGGCTCACCGATTTCTTTTCCTTTCAATATCAAACTCCTTTCCTTACGTCACAAGTCCCCAACTTCAGATTGCGTCTCGCCCCCTCCCCGTGACTCGCAGGGTCATGCCAGGCAAGCGGCTCCCGAGAGGAAAAGAGGCACGGAAAGTCTTCCCGGACGGAAGGGGGCGCTTTCCGCCGTTGCCAGAGCGTCCACGGGCGCTCCCCTCCTCTTGTCGTTCCTGGGAAGAAGTATAGAGTGCGGGTTCCGCCTCGGCTCGTCATTCAGCCGCCCCGGGCCCGGCTCGAGTTCGCCTCTCTTGCTGTTTCCCTTTTCCCCCTGCTCTTCCGTTCTCCCCTTGGGCTCGTACGGGTGGGCGCGGGCCTCGCTCTCCTGTTGGCTTGACTCGCCGCCGCTCAAGCGGGACGGTCCCCGCCTCCCCTGCGCCGCCTTCGTCTTCGTTCTCGAGCGGACCGGGGATCGGCTCCCCCCCCCCCTCCCGGCGGAGGCCATGGCGGCAAGCGCCAAGCGGAAGCAGGAGGAGAAGCACCTGAAGCTGCTGAGAGAGATGAGCAGCCTCCCGCCCAACCGCAAGTGTTTCGACTGCGACCAGCGCGGCCCCACCTATACCGACATGACGGTGGGCAGCTTCGTTTGTACTTCCTGCTCCGGCATCCTGTGAGTTGAGGAGAAGAAAGGGCCCGGCCGCTTGGCGGGAGGAAACGGTCGAGCGTTTTAAGTAGGCAGCGCTAGAGAGTAGGGAGAAAGCCAGACCGCTCAGGCTGGGGAAGGGGGCTTTGTGAGGATCTCTATTGGGAGGATAGAGGGCTTGGGCCCGCGTGAAGAGCCAGATTAAAGTGTGGAAATGAGGATTCTTCCCCTCTCCCCGAAATACTAAATGGGGGGAAGTAAGGCAAGACAGTATCAGCAGGAAGGAATGGAGGAGACTGGACTGGTACAGTTACTCTGCTCACCAAAAAAGAATTTTATTTCAGGCAATTTGAAAGACTGGGCCACCTGGAGAGACCACCAGAAAGCAAAAGGCTGATAAAGTGAAATTACCAGAGAAAAGTACAGGATTAGAGTTTGGGAAATAGCCTAGTATGGACATGTTCCACAAGTGTAGGCAACATTGCTTAAAATGAGAGTTTGTTCCTAGTGTATGTAATAAAAAAGGGATTATAAACAATGCAAAATGGTATTTATGGAAGAAAGTATGTAAGCTTGATGTTAGTTGTCTGATGGAAGAGAATCGGTTATATTCTAAAAATATATAAAATGGGAGAAGAGGAATTTCATGAATGCATTTTCAAAATGTAATAACTTGTTCATGCCTTTTTAATATCTGTAACTGAGAACATTTTAAGGAAGTAATAATAGGCAATACTAAGTAAGCATATTACTTTAAGGGCTTATAGCAGGAAACAGTTTAAACATTTTGTTAAATTTGAGAAGTTACAATATTTTAACCACCTTATCTACATAATTGCCAAACCGTGCACATAATTTTGAAAGAGTATATACTTTTCACTGTCTGAAGTTAGTCAGCTGTCCAGAATATGTAATCTTCAGTAGTTTTATAATTTTTTTTCAAGAATATGTTACAATAGACAGACTTAGTTTGATCATTTGTGACATTTACTAAAATTATACCAATACACATAATTATATTATAGGTCTAGATGAAGATTAATTATCTCTACTAGTATAAATGGATCAGAATCTTGCTTATTAAGAAAAAAATTTATATGTGAGGGGAAATGGGAGATTTGTGATTTCAAATTTTTGAATTTTTCAAAGTGAACAATATGCTTTATTTTACAGTGAAAAAAATCGATTTTGTGAAGTTGATATTATGAAATAATGATGGAATAATAGAGGATTATCTGTTAAAACAAAGCTAAAGTTTAGAAATATTTAGTGTGGCAATTGAGTGTAATCTTTTTCATTATTAATAATTAAGATGTTAATCCCACTAATTCTGAATTTAATTTTACAAGCAATCCTTTATCAATTCAAACAAATGTAGCTAAACTACTTCTGCCATGAAGTCATTAATATCTCCCAGAAAAATATATTAATTTTATATAATGGTGGTTATATCATGGCCTGTTTAATACAGGTATTTTGTATTTAATTTTTTTTTAAAAAAAATCAAGCATACTTCTCAGATTGCATATGCTGTCCTACCGTGATATTTGTTTATGAGTTTCATAATTGAGATTCTTCTCGTCTGATTCTATTAAAAATAATGACTAAAATTCCCAATTATCTTCAGCCAGCATCATTAATAGTGGTAGTGTTGGGTGTATTAGACTGCGAACTGTCAGGAGAGAATGAAGGCACCAAATAAAGTTCTACCCATTCTCAGATTTCTCTATCAAAATCACAATATTTGAGGGAAGGCATGATTTTTCTGATGGAGAATTAGACTATTTTAAGCAGAATATTGTAATCCTATATAGGATGTATATATAGAGAATGATCATTTTTATGTTTCTAGAACTTTTATATTTTTAGAATACTTTTTAATGTTGTATGTGTGCTGTATATACCAAAATCATTTTCAAACACAAATTCATAGTGTCTTAGTGAAGGTTATGTCTCTCCCAACCAAATGCAGCACAGTTCTCTCACTGGTATTCAAGTAAGACAACCATTGAGTAATCCAAAAAATGAAAGGATTAAATCTGTTGTTCCTTTTGAACTGCTATGACATTTTGTTTTGTAAATTCATTAGTTTTTGACATGGCTGGAATTTGTAATAGATAAATATAATTGCAAGATAAAATCCATAGTATTTATAGCAAAATTTAATGTTTGGTTTAATTGAATTTTGAGTTCTGGATCATTTTTATGTCACTGATCCCATATCATTAATCAAAATTTAAACTGATGAACACTTTACTAGAAGAAAAGCTCAAATAAGAGCTTTTTAAGAAAGCAGACTAAAAGATCTGTATCCATTGGAATTCTAAAAATCTGTATAGTGCTTATATTTTTAAAAAAGCAAATATCTTAAAAGAGCTAACTAGTGAACCAACATTTTAAATTGATAGCTACAACCAAGCTCTGAGAACTCTACAGTTACTTACAAATATGCTATTAGGCCCAATTTTTCTACAATACTTGAATCAAAACTATTTGAAATTAAGACATTTTCTTAATTGTCATATCTATTGAATACTATTTTTATCATTACTAACTTTAAACTCTAGTTAAAATTTCTTTTGCTTGAAAGATTTCTACAATCACTATTTTTTGAAAAAAATATTTTATAGGAGAGGTTTAAATCCACCTCACAGAGTGAAGTCCATTTCAATGACCACATTCACACAGCAAGAAATAGAATTTCTTCAAAAGCATGGGAATGAAGTAAGTATTTAGTATAGAATGCATAAGTAAATTGATGGATAATACAATTTTAAGGAGTGCCTTATATTAGTCAAAAAGATTATACAAGTTCTGAACATAACATGAAATTTTCTTGGATTGTATGAACCATATGTATAATGGTATTTCTGAACTGAAATTGGATTGTAATTGGACCCATGTAGTGTGAATCAAGTTGTTTCATTGATGCATTTCAGCTTTTCCTCTACCTTTTTTATTATTCAGCATTCTTTTAGAGTGAACTTTTCAGCATGGGTGGAACTTCCTAGAAATATGGGTGGTATTTCCTCAAATATGTTTGTTCCTGTTAATATTGCATCACAGTAGTGCTGCTGAAGCATGTTTTATGGGATATAGAAGGCCAGAAATTGCTTAATCGTCTTAAAATTATCAAAATGCGTAAGACACTATGACATGAATTTAAAGACTTTTTCTAGACATTAGCAAGCTATCCTAAGTGCATGAATTCCAAGAAGCTTAGTCATAACACATAGCTTAAGTTACAGAATTATATTAGCTAAAATAATAGTAAGGAATGACTAATAAATCTGGAACTTTAAATCAACCATTAGTTATTTCATCAGTTATTTTTAGCAAATATTTGTTCCCAACCACTGAAATGGGACATTTTGCTGCAGCCAAATTAATTAGAGGTGGGGTTTTTTTTAGTTTATTGTTTTCCTTGGTAAAAAAAACCAACAAATTAATTATTTAGAAGATGAAGAGGAATTATCTCAATAACTGTAGTAAGAAGTATTTCAGTTTTGTTAAGTATAATGTTGCTTTACTTGAGTTTTAAGAATATGATTATCCAAAATTAGCTGAAATACTGAAAACAGCATAGCTGGTATACAGGGAATGCAGATGGATAGTGGAAAAATCAACTCACTAACTCACATTTGAATTCTGGTACACAAAATAATACTATCACTCAAATCATTAATACTATCACTCAAATCATTGTCATTTGGGGATACTATGACTGCTGGAATTTGGAGGACCAGTCATAAGGATAAAATAAGCCAGGGGTGGGAGTATTGTTTTTTACCCTTTTATATTAGGTTTTTATTGTTTGTAAGCTACCCAGAATCACTGAGATTGAGTGCGTTGTCATATAAATCTTCTGAATAAATATAACCCATTCAACACTATCACAACTTGAACAATTTCTGAACAGATAGCTGGTAAGTGAGGACTACCTGTACACCCCTGCCATTCTTCATTCGTCCCTCTTAGAAACATCTGCCCCTCATTCTCTTCTGAATCAGCATGATAGAACTTGGAGGGGGATGTATATATGCAATATTATCATTGACTTTATGACCAAAATAAAGATGTTGCTGTTAAAGTAATTGCATAATTTAGTGATTTAGTTATAAATATTTAAACTTTTAGTCTTCTATTATAGTATTTCTATCATATGCTTTATTTTATTTTTATCAACCTATTTAAAATGTTTTGCAAAACCTATATAAAAACCATCATCTGAGGTATTTAATTCGTCTCCAAAAATATGTATAATAGTCATTAACCGTAACAAAGATTTTAGATTTTATAAAGTTTTAGTGGATTCATGTTGGGAACATGAATGGGTTTGAATATGTACACAACACTATTTGATGAGATCTCAATCTCTTTAATATAGTTTAGGTAGTCCTTGACTTATGACCACAATTGAGCTCAAATTTTCTGTTGCTAAGTGAGACGGTTAAGTGAGTTTTGCCCCATTTTATGACTTTTCTTGGCACATTTTGTTAAGTGAATCACACTGTTAAATTAGTAAAACAGTTGTTTTACTAATTTAAACAACTGTTAAATTAGTTGCTATTACTAATAGCAGGAGTAATTAGGAGCTGTTAAATTAGTAAAACAGTTGTTTTACTAATTTAAACAACTGTTAAATTAGTTGCTATTACTAATAGCAGGAGTAATTAGGAGATGTTAAATTAGTAAAACAGTTGTTAAGTAACTTTGCCTTTCCCAGTGACTATCTTGTCAAAAAGTCACAAAAGATGATCACATGATCCCTGGATACCTCAACCATCATACATACATGCCAGTTGGCAAGCATCCAAAGTTTGATCACCTGACCATGGGAATGTTGCAATGGTTGCAAATGAAAAGCAGTCATAAGTCATTTTTGTCAGTGCTGTTGTAATTTCAAAGTCTCCCTAAAGGAATGATTGTAAGACAAGAACCATCTCTTTTTTTTAGTTCATTAAGTGATCAGACGGAAGTAGATTTAATTTAATATTGTTTCTCTTTGAAAAGGTATGTAAACAGATATGGCTAGGATTATTTGATGATAGATCATCAGCAATTCCAGACTTCCGGGACCCTCAAAAAGTCAAAGAATTTCTACAAGAGAAATATGAAAAGAAAAGATGGTTGGTACATGTTTCACTGTTTTATATATATATATTCCTATTCTATTTCCAGTGGAATGCCTAAACATATATTTGTTTTATTTGTATCAATAATTACCTTGTGGAGGCATTACTGGAACATTTCTTACCAAAGTCAAATTCAAAATCGTTGAATCTCCTTTGTCATACATATTACAGTACCCCTACTGATTTTTACTACTGTAAGTACTGCTATTATTACTTTCTTATAGTCGTCACGAATTAGCTTGACCTTTTTGACCGTAGTGTTAAAAGGCTTTGTGAGCAAAAGTACTAAATAGTAAACTAATTGGACAAGTCCAATGTTTGACTTTTACTTAATTTCTTGAGCAAATTTTTGTTCATTCTCCAGAACATGACAATGTCCAGGTGAATGAATTTCCGGATTCTATTTCCCTGGAATACCCCTTAACAACCCCCACTCATTATGGTGGACTTTTCTGAAGCTTAGATGAGAAAGGCTTTGCTTTCTTTTTATAACTGAACTAGTGCCCCCGCCACCCCTCCCCCCCCCAAATCATGGCTTTTTTTGAGTGCTTCTGGTTTAGGGAGATTAATGCATAAAATAAAATTAGATAAAATATTTTTGACTTAAGATTTAAATGTTGTGTGTATTTGTATTTATGCATTATGAATATTCACCATGTACTTTTTTCCCCTTTAAATTGTTATTGGTATAGTAAAGTAGTAAAATTCTTGGCCGAAGCAATTTTTAGAGCCATTTTTAACAGGCTGAAATTTTTCTTTCCCAGTTTTAGTTACATGTATTTCTTAAGCTGATACTTATTCTCAGCTTGTAATAGGATATCCTATTTAGGTACTACACATAAACACACAGTGTTCCGGTTGTAGAAGTTGAATTTCAACCAGTTAGATTATATTACCCCTGTTTACATTCACTATTTACCTTGTACATTTATTATTTGTTTCAGACCAGTTACATCTTAATAAATTATTCAGTGCATTTCAATCATATGCCAGTTAATCTTTTAAATCTTTGTTCTTACTGTTTTTCTTACAGTACAGCTATTATAACAAAGGGAGTTTATAATTGCTCAAGCCATATGGTTAATTCCATCTCTCTAATCCTAGAGTAGGATTGTGGCATCCTTTATTGATAATTGATTTGGGGATGTTATAATAAATACAAATGTTTTAATTTGGCATTTTAGGTATGTTCCTCCAGAACAAGCAAAAGTTGTGGCTTCTGTCCATGCATCCATATCTGAGTCATCTGCTAGTAGTACAAGCAGTACTCCAGAAGTTAAACCACTTAAATCTCTCTTAGGAGAGTCTGCACCAGCACTGCACTTAAATAAAGACACACCTACACAAGTAAGTAATGTATCTTTTAAAAGTGTATGAATTTAACACACATTCAATAAAATATGCTACTTGGTGCACTGTCCATTACTAATTATTGTTTACTATCTTTCTTCAGACCCATGCTGCTTTCATATTTTCATTTTACACTATGTAGCTGTTCTATATCGCTTACTTTTACCCTGATGGCTTTCAGGGAATCTATCTATTCAACAATTCTATTCAGTTCTATTTTATATTTCTCTTAACAATGTTAATAGAACAAAACTATGTTTTTCCATAGTGACAATATCACTCATATTTTCTTTAATTCTTCATCCTTCAATAATCTGTTCCTTCGGGGAGTTTCTTTTTGTCCACCTATATTTTGTTGAGTTTTTACTTAAAAGTCACTCCCTGTTCTTTTAGGAGATATATCTTGCATTCTCCCAATATCTAAGCTTCTATAATACTGACATATTTTCTCAGCTACCTTGTCTTTCGTCTCCTTAATTTTTCACACATTTCTTTTCCTCAATTATCTTCACTGGAACCTAGAAGTGAATTATATTGTGTGCCCCACAAGAGTGTTTCAATTTTTTGTGCAATTTTGCAGTAGTCTTCTGATGAGTGCCAGATCTGTAGGATATTACAGTGCAGAATTGAATTGCCTCATCTGGATAAAAAATAAGTTGACTTACAAAAGTTGTTGTTTTTCTATATTAAGAATGATATTCTGGTTTATTCTAATTACTCTACTCATGCTTGTTTAACCTACTGCAATTTGTTTAGTCTCCTGTTACAATTCGATCTCATGGGCAGTCACAAGAAAAGAAGCAATTTGATCTTCTCAGTGATCTTGGTTCAGACATATTTGCTGCTCCTGCTCCGCACACTACAGCTACTGCTAATTTTGCTAATTTTGCACATTTCAACAGTCATACAGGTAATTTTATTTCTTATCTTAGGTTTGACAATGATACATACTGAGATTGAGCTAATTTGTATGGCCATTGGTTTAATGGTTAAATTATCCCAAATGTGTGCTTAATCACTGAAGCTTATTAATAATTCAAGTTTACAAAAACCTAAAAATAAAATAGGAAATAAGCTATGAAAACCAAACTTACTGGCTTCTGTAATATTGGCAAGGATTTGAGGGGGGGGAGGGGGAAGAGATAAACAAATTTCAGTCAAGGCTGAATAAAATAATAACAAATTTTAAGCAACTTAGCTAAAATATAAAATGTACAGTGCAGCATTATCATAGGAACAAAATTGACAAAATGTGAATAATTTATGATTAAAATGATTAAACCTACAGATCGTAATGTATTACAATTAATATATAAAATAATAGTTATATGCTATTATGAAAGTAACAAAATATAATAAAATATTCAGTGCTGTCTCTATAAAGAATAAAAATGAAAATAGTGAAATATTCTATACTAATAGGTGGAAATTAATACTATTAAGGTGATTAGAAAATTAAACATAGTAGATAAACTGCATAATATAATCATGCAGTTTAATAAGGAAGTAGTTTATTAGTTTTACTTAACTCTTACCAGCAATCAGTTTTCTGCTAATTTTATATTGGGCAAGATTAAATCAGAAATAATTGCAAATACAGAATTAGTTTGGCCAAGAAGCTGTGTAAATATTGGGGAGATACAAAATCTCTATAAAATGAGCAACATACGAGAGTGCTTGTTTGATAGTCGCAAGAGTTACTAACTCACACGGTCATACAAGCTCCAAGAAACAAGCTCTCCTGTATCTATGACATGCTCTTGGTAAAGGCCTTTCTGTCCTTGAGATATCCAAGACAAATCCCAAGGATTATTTTGTCCTTTGATTATTGGTAAAAGGAAGATTAGGACTCTTGCTTAAATCAGTTTGGTGATAGTCCTTTATTGTTTTCAAAGTGATCTGGATTACTCATAATCAAAGGAAAGCAGGTGGGAAGGATAGAACCCTAAGAGTGGTAATAGTAGTCGCACATTAAATATATTTGAGGATAGTAATAATATTAATCAAGAGTGCAATGGGGGCGGAAAGTAATAAACAATAATGGAGCACTCTCATAATTTGTACTCTTGCTTTATATGACTCATGTATAGGCATATATTTCTTTTAAAATAACTGATGAAGAGCATAATCCTTCAAGCTTTATAAAAGATCTGATGCTAGAGCTGTCAAAAAATCTAATATTTAGCATGTAAAATGCTTATTTTTCCTCTTTTGATTCTGACTAACATTTTTTAAATCAGTTGTAGGACTGGAATAAACCTTCCTTGTGTGTTTGTGTGTGTGTTGAAATGGATAGGAGGACTATAATATGCTTTTTAAAAAGCATTTTCAGCACAGAGTTCTGGTGTCTGAATCTCAGGAATGCTTGAATGACAGAAGAAGAGTTTCTCCCCCTTTTTTAATTTGGAGCTATTCAGCTATGGAGGTAAATTTAAATAATAATGTGGGCTCTTAAACATCCTCCCATTCTTTCCTTGAAACATTTTAATATGTGAGCTAACCTTGATACAGATTTTTCTGTTGGTGGTCCTTGTAAATCCTCGCTTCCACGTTCCTCATTCATATGAAATATGTTATCTGATTATATAATGACTTCTTGGTGCTATTATATCTTTAAAAAGAAATCAGAGGAAGAAAATGTCTCACATAATCATTATCCATAATTTTCAAACTGATCTAAGACATTTTTGTTGAAGTCAGTAGTTAACTAATACTAATAATTATAATTATTTGGTATTTATGTATTGTTTTAACTTGTTATAAGCTGCCCAGAATCATTTGAGGTAGATGTCTATATAAATGAAATTACTAAATTAACAAATGAATATTCTGTGCATTTATTAGTTTCATTTTGCTTAAACATTTCACTTTTCTGAACTTTTATGTAAATTGGTTTTTCCAACTTGTTATTGTCCAGAAATTCTGTTAATTATATTTCAATGCATATGAAGGTCAGCCTTTAATTACATATTTAAAAAGGATAAAAATGTAATAATTCTAATATTCCTAACTCTTACAAGAGTTCTGGAAGACAGGTCTTTACTTAACAGTACAAGTAGGACTTATTTAGTGAATAGAGTTGGCACTAGCAACTTGGTCATTAAATGAAATGGTCACTTAATCAAACTGTCACTGTTCTGTGGTCTTAACTCAACTTTCTTATAAATGCAAGGATTAAACATAGTTACCTTTTCATTACTGCTGTAATTGCAAAGGATTACCAAATTAGGCAGTTGCTAAAGGAGGACTCTGTAATTGAGTGGGATTAAATAAATCTTTAGCTACAGTAGTTGCAGATTACAGTTCATATAGCTATAAAGAATAGAGTAGAGAATGCCCTTTTTTAAAGGAAGGGCATTAATTTTTATATTGGTGACATTTACATTTCATAGAATCCTTGCAATTGGTTGGATAATGAATCAATTTCCATCCAATTTCTTTTTACTGCCCCACCCCCTTTAGAGCAGAGAGTTTGGAGAGGAAACGGTTTGGTTCCCATAAATTATGCCGGGAGCCCCAGACATTCTCTGTAAACAGCTTGCAGTACTCTCTTGTAATCTCATAATCCTTTTCTCTTCAATCTCTCTTTGTAGTGGGTGAGGGAGAGAAAACTAAAGCAATTTCTATAGGAATCTCTCTTTTACCTGATCCTTCCCCCATTGCAGAGATTGGAGAGTGCTGCTCTTCTGCACATTGAAAATATTGTGATCATGCTGGCAGCAGAAAGAGTCAGGAAAAGGATAGGACACCAGAATGATCAAATTGTAAACAGGCACTTTGGAGCATTCCAAAGGGCAGGGTAGTCTTTAGGAGGCAAACAAAAACTGAAGGGGTGAAACTGAGTAGTCTGTCTCTTTCCAGTTGGTAAGTTATTTCCCACTTAGCCACTGCTTTGCTTAGTGGCTGAGTTGCAGATCCCAGTTCGGATTATTAAGCAAGGACTGCCTTATTCCTATTCTGATACCCTGTCACTATCAAAAGTAGTTTGATGGAAATGTAAAGAAGACATTTCAGAGGCTGCTGCTAGACTTTGAAAGCCCTGCAAAGGGTAACAAAATTTGTTTTCCTCTCATTAATCTTTCCATTGACAGCTAACAGCATTTTTATTCAGACATGTGGTTTATAGGTTAATATGATGATTTTTAAGCACTGGTTTTGATGGTATGTATTTATTAATGTGTTTTATGTTTTAATTTTTAAAGTTATTAATCTGCTTATATTTTAACTGTTTTAAATGTCACATTAGCAATGTTAATACAATACACTATGTTACATATTTATACTCTTAGATACTATATAGTAATATGCTGACAGTAACTCTTCAATAATATGAGATACTTTTTCCATCTAGACTGAACAATCCAGTAAACTCTCAAGCTTATTTACTTATGCAAATGATTATAATATATCTTTGTTAAGAATGTTAAGAAAGCATTTTGGATTTCTTTATTTCATTATATGATATATTAAAGGTAGAGTTATTGTAGTCATAAGTAATTTTCTATTTGTGCAGTGTTTCCAAATTTTAAAATGATTTATGTCTTAAAAACATTACTTTCTTTATGCAATTATATACATGGTTTGCTTTATTGTCATATGCCTTTAATGTTTTATGTCAGTTATTAAAACAATTAATTCTCAGAAGCCAAAATCAATAGAGTTACACTTGGTAGGCTCAATAATATGTGAATACTAGTGGTTTAACAACTCTATTCATGCAGCTTTTGGTTATATGACATGGGAGAATTGTTTCAGAAGCACATTGAAATGTATAATATGCAAAACTTGCACACTTTTTTGGATTTTGCCAAAAAGTTTTATAATTATATAATTATTTTTTAGAGAGAATTTGAAATAAGTCATAAAACCACAAAGAGATAGCTTTCCATTACCTCCATGACAGTGATAAGACAAGATACAGCTTAGGAGGGAAAGTTTGTCCTCTTGCTAGACTATAACTCTTAAGAGCACACACTAGCATGACCTTTGTAAGAGATTCTAGAAGTGACACTTCAGCAATATCTATAAAACCATTAAATCTCCCATCTCTATCATAATGTACTTCAAATCATAACATACATATCATAATATAAATCATAATATACTTCAAATCAAATTGTCTTATTTAAAATATATCATGTGGCCTGGATTTCACGCATAATTCTGAACTGTAAACTCTTTTTTATGACCCTGTAGTCCCTATACTGCATATCTATAGGATCCCAGTGGGACAGTAGTTAGAATGCAGTCTTGCACTCTGCCCTCAGCCTTTCATTCAATCCTTACAGGCTTGTGGTTGATTCAGCCTTCCAACCTTCGGAAGTTGGTAAAATGAGGACCCTGATGGTTGGGGGTAATATTCTGATTCTGTAAACCATTTAGAGAGGGCTGTAAAGCACTATGGGTCAATATATAGCTCTACGTGCAATTGTTATTGCTATTACTATACTCTGGATAGCTGTCAGGAAGAGAATCTGTCCAGAATAGAAGTAAGTGTAGAGTTGCCCCAACTCTACCTTTAATCTTGATCTATAATAAATGTTTTTTTGTTTTGAATTAGAATAATATGTGAATTCATCTTACATAATAGATTTATGGTTTGCAAAGCACACCTAGATCCATTTTGGTAAGCTAAAAAACAACACTATTATGGCTTAGCAACATCTATAATTTGTTTTTCTTAAAATTAGTTTGTGGGCTTTCAGAAAGAAAATTAGTAATAACCAGAGTATAGTATAATAATGGGATCACAAAATGGTATTTTCATTTCTGTTGACAGATATTACATCTAAAATATTTTATATATAGATAGAATTAAAAGAAGAGCCATTTCCATGTAGGATAGGTTTGCAAAAGAAAATGTCCTGTACATTGTACTTTCAAGTAGTATAGTTATCCTAAAGTATAGTTATCCTGTTCTGTTCAGTTTATCTTTGTTTTCATATCATTAACATATTTTTGTTCATTTGCACTTTACAGCGCAGAACTCTGCAAACGCAGGTTTTGCAAACTTTGATGCATTTGGACAATCTAATGCTTCGAGTAATTTTGGTGGTTTCCCCACAGCAAGTCAGTCTGCTTTTCAGCACCAAAATACAGGTAGAAATGCTCTAATGTTGTTAATTCCTTTAATATAAACTAATCTGGACACTATAGTTGGAATATTTCTTAGATCTCCTTGTATCTCCTTGTCTTAACACACATAATCTGAAGCTCTGGGGAAACCTGAAAAATGAATGTTCCTTTTCTTTTGCTATACTTGGTGTGGGTTCTGTTCATGCATGAAGTTTTTATATTATAGCTCCTGAATTATTCCTACACATGATGTAAATACTATTTATTGGAAAATATTGGATCATATCTTAAGATAAAGATTCTATCTTTTTCTCATGCAAGATACATTAGTTTGGCTAAAACTGCCTCATGTGTAAGGACTGTTGCTTTCTTCTTTTTTATTTGTTTTATGCTGTAATGATTTTTCCTGGAATGTTAATTGGTATGTCTTGATTTGTGGTTGACCACTTTTCTGTTTCGTTTTCCTTGTTTAAAAATGCTTAAGATTTCTTTTAAAATTTTTTTGTTTTTCCTTTCTGTTAATTTTAACCCCTCACACAATTTCTGGCTGTCCAGCGTTCAGAACGCTTTCATCTAGCTGCAGTTTTGGTGACTTTACTACTTCTGCTTTCCCTGGCCAGGCTATGCGCAGTAAGTTCCACCAAGGTGGGAAACTCAGCTCATTTAATTTATAGTACCATTTTTCCTCATTTCCACTTTGTCATGGTCAAGTTGTCTTATTTGTTCTTCTTCAAAAGGTGCTACCTAATAGTACATGCTTGCTACTGGTATATTGGCTTACTTGCACTTGAGAATTATCCTACCAAATATAGTGTAAAAATCATAGTTACAATGGTTTTCTTTATGCAAATAAGTGGAAAATATAATACAATTTTTAGTATTCATGAAAATCTCAAACATTTCAAATTACTGTATAATGTAGTTCAATTTTTTATGCAACATTGATTCCACATTCCAGCCTCCTGCTGGTTCCTGTGCCTGTCTTTGGACCTGTAGTGGCTCAGGCTTTTGGCAGCTGCTGCCAAATGCTAGATCAGTCTTTAATAATGCCAATTCCACTTCCTCCCCAATCTGGTAATGAATGAGAGGATCAACCTGGAGTGTATCACCAAAACGTTTCTGTGCACTGAGGAAGGTGTTTCCCGCCTAGAAATGTTCCCACAAGGCATGACTCAGGGCAAGAGTAATGGAGTTATCTTAATTAACCAAGAAACTTGGTGGCTTTTAGCAGCACTACTCTGCAGATAACAGGGTATAAAACCTGTTGATAATGATAGTTGACTCTAGAGGTCAAATTGGACTTCTTCTACTGTCCATAATCCCTGCTATGAGCTGTTTTATGCTATGGCCAAGTTGGAAGTCCATAATCACTGTGCATTTCCCCCAGATTACTAAAAGTTTGATTCATGGCAGCAGTCATGGTTTTGTAGAACTATTCTTTGTCTCAGACACATGCAGTTGAGGGATGTTACTGTCCGTTCTTGTGGTCAGATAACTCCCAGGTAGCCTTGGAGTTATCTAGCTGCTCTGTACCACAGAATAGAAGAATCCATTTGATTGATCTGTCCCAGGTACTTGATGGGTCCCTTTGGGTTTCAGAGGAATTTAGAGTCTTCTCTGAAGCTCTGCACAGCTTAACTGAGGCTTTCTTCATTGTTTGGAACAAGGTGGTGGCAACAGCCTTGTACATACGTATGTGCCTTTGAGACTCCACTTGGATTTTGAAAAGTTGCTAGTTTTCAGAGTAACTGGCAGTTCAAATGGAAAAAGAGAAATCTGGGGATAAACAAAGCATTTATTAAGGATTACCTCATGGTGATAAGAGTGGCAAAGCATAATTATTTTTCTGCTCTTTATCATGTCTACAAACAGGGCTGGTAGCCCAGTTCAAGGTGATCTGGTCCCTCCTGGGCACAGATATGTAGATCTGAGGAACATTGCTAGGGATCTGTGAAGTCTATTTGGTACATGTTTTGCATAAAGCCTCTTGTATCCATTCTGAATTGGATCAGCTTTGGGATTGTGTGTGACATAATTTGGCATGTTTTTGTGATGTTGCTGATAAAATGAACAGGGGCCTTGGGGTGGGAAGTGGAGCCACCTGAATATTAGATTTGACTATTAGGGTTGACACTGTGACCCTCATGGTTGGTCAAGAGTTCCTAGGGGATGATGTGTGGTTATATACACAAAGTAGTGAATGTATCCTTTAGGGAGAAGATGATTTTCACTGGAAGGTTCCTGGGAAGATAGCTGTGTTTCAGGTTAGGATATAGTGCTGAAAACATTGATGTATATGACTTTTGATGGGATCAATAAGGAGGCAGCGCATCCATGCTGGCCTTCCTTGATCTTTCAGTGGTTTTCAATACCATTGTACATAATGTCCTTCTGGATTGAATTCAGAAAGTTAAGGTTAGGAGGAAGTTAGTTGTCCTTTCTCTAGGACCAGTTCAAGTTGATGCTAGTGGAGAAAGAGATCCAGCCCTACTGCCCTGTTTTGCAGTATCTTCGGGGCTTTACAATCTCACCTCCTATTTATCTGAAGCTGCTTGGTTGGGTCCTCCATAGGCACAGGGTAAGTATCAATTAGATCAGTGTTTTTCAACCACTGTGCCGCCGCACACTAGTGTGCCGTGACATAGTGTAAGGTGTGCCGTGGGAAAAACACTTTATATATAGTCAATATAGGCACAGAGTTAAATTTTTTTAACATTTTCTAATGGTGGTGTGCCTCGTGATTTTTTTCATGAAAAAAGTGTGCCTTTGCACAAAAAAGGTTGAAAAACACTGAATTAGATGATGATACACAATCTTCCATCTCTAACCAGGACTGGACAAGTAGTGCTATCAGTTTTCCCCAGTGTTTGGAGGCTAAGAGGGATACATGTACTTCAGGTCAGCTGCAGTAAGACTAATTAGCTGTGGTTTTTAGGATCCCTGAAGCTGGAAGCTGTTTGTAGTTCTGAATGGAGTTGCACTTTCCCACATAGAACTATGTATTTTGAAGGTCATCTTGTATTTATAGTTCTTGTTTGAAGAACAGGTGACTACTATGGCCAAAGGGATATTTGCACAACTCCATTCTATTCACTACAGTTTGTTCAAAATACAGCAGCATATGTGGTCATGAGTGCACCATTGTACATGTAATACCGCTACTCATGAACCGTACTGGCTTTGGGATGTAATTTGTGATACTTATTATTGCTTATGAAGCTCTTCGTAGCAGAGGTCCAAGTTGGGATTGCATATTTCTGTCTGGGACTACCAATCCTATAAGATCCAAGAGAATACACATACTTTAGGTTTCCTTTGTGAACTATGTCAGCTAATGTGGCGCTTCTGTGTCCCAGCACCTACCCTTTGGAACAGTATGACCCTTGAGTTTCAGAAGAGCCCGATTCTTGTTAGTGTTCTATAAAGTTTTAAAATCTCCAGGCATTAGGCTAGGCTGTTGGATGAAACAGTTTAGTACAGGGGTGTGAATCCGGCCCAGGGTTGGATCCGGCCCAGGAGGTGCTTAGATCTGGCGTCACCATGGAAGGTGCTTAGATCATGGCGTCACCAAGGAAACACTGAAGGACTTGCCCACGATGCCTCTGCCAGCAAAACAGAGCTTGGGATGGCTGCACAGGGCCTTCCTGAGCCCCATTTTCGCTGGCAGAGAGTTGCAGGAGGCTGTTGCATCCTAAAATGGAGCTCGGGAGCCCATTTTCGCTGACAGAGTGTGCAGGTCACCACAGGCGCCCCCGATATAAGTGACGTTGAGCTGGCCATGCCCCCACCCATCCCCCGAGGTCAAACACAACCCTGATGCGGCCCTCTATGAGATCAAATTTGACACCCCTGATCTAGTAAATGTTTTTGGATGTTGAAATGTTTTTACCTCTGTAAGTGCTATTTTATGCTGGGTTTTGCCATTGTTATTTTTATTGTTTACCTTCTGTTCTATTTCAGTCGCAGGTTAGTCACTCAAAATAACAATTTCCTAATTAGGTGACTAACTAACTAACTAACTAACTAAATAAATAAATAATGATATTCTGGGGTTAGAGAGCCAATGTGATATAGTGTTAAGGTGCTGAACAGGGTGGAAACACCAGGTTCTAGTCCTTTCTTAAACATAGAAATCAGCTGGTAGCCTTTGGGGCCAGTTATTCTCTCTCTCAGCCTTTTACTGGGTAAATGAAAACATATATCTAGCAACCTGCACTGGACCAGAGTAATAGAATTTGACCCTGATGGTTAATGAAAAGACCTCCATCCAGCAGTGAATTGGTTTGGATGATGTAATTGTTGCTGTTTATTCTATCATATTAATACAAATTATTTGTTTTGAAGTAGAACCTAGTCTGGCTTTCAAATATTTTTATAATTTCCTTATAGCCAGAAAATCATTAAATTACAATTTCCAGTGGCTCAAACCATTGAGACTAATAATGAAGATGCTAGGCATTATAGTTTAGTAGCATCTGAATATCACAGTTTTTCACGTCTTATTTTTGTGGAAGAAGACTGCAAATACTAATTTCTTCAAAGGGAAAGAGAGCAGTGTAATCAAGTACCAACCACTAGCATTCACGTTTGCAGTTTGAAGTTTAAAACATTAAATATTTAATTATCAGAAGTGGTAATGAGGATTTTGTTCTCTTCTGTTTTTAATTCTTCATAGTAATACAGAATTTAAAAATTACAAAAAAATTAGACCATGCTAAATTGATATGAAGTGATATACCTCTTAATTTGATAGTTTTTTAAAAAAAAATTAAAGACATTGTGCTGTTTGTAGGAACTTATCAAATATTGTTTCATTAAAAACATTTAAATCTAATTAAGTTGCAGAAAGAGACGAGCTAAAACAAAACCATGTTTGTGTAAATCATTGAGACTAGTTTTTCTGCAACATGTATTTCCTTCACTCAGCTCTGAGATTGATACAGCTAGGGCGTCCACATTTGGAATTTAAAATACCTGTTTTTAACCAATCAGGATTTTGGAATAGAGAAACTTTATTAAAGGTATAACTAACCGATAAGTTCATTAGCACACATGGTCACCAGATACATTTGAAGAGACTTTCAATGAGCTTGAAAACTTTTTAACTTATTTTGTTGCAGGTGGGAGCGCTCGATCAGTGAATGCTAACTTTGCACACTTTGATAACTTCCCCAAATCCTCCAGTGCTGATTTTGGAGCCTTCGGTGGTTCTCAGAGCAACACAACTGCAGCCAGTAAAGCTGTAGTGAATAAAACATGTCTCCAGTCAGCAGATAAATACGCAGCTCTTGCTAATTTAGATAATATCTTCAGCACAGGGCAAGGTACTAATTCTTATTCTTTGACCTGTTCTCTTACACTATTTATCATGGGTATAGTTTGTTCTGTGATGTACTATTAAAATCCATGAGATTTTTAGTAATTCCTATTACAAACAATCAATACCGTGTTACTATAAAACTTGCATGATGTTACTTGCAAGTTTAAGGCACTGGAATTTATGCAAACATAGTTATTCTGGTGAAAACAAGGATAATACAATGAAAAATATGGATATGTAGTATTTTTTTCTTTGATATAATGCATCAGAAACTATGTTCTACCAGTTATTGAACAAATTATGCATCTGAAGCACTGGGTCTTTTAAAATATAGTTGCTATGAAGAATCTCAGCACATAGTAATTGTAGTTAGGATAGGATAGGATTTTGTGCCTGAATTCACACACATCTTTATTCTGTTTGTTTATAAATTATTTTAACATTTATTCATGATGAAATTGCTAAAACAAAACAAAAAAACCCAGCTACCCTGTTATACAAGTAGTCCACATTACCATGTTTAGTGACCAACTTTATAGTGGTGCTGAAAAAGTAACTTGTTGCAGTGCCCCAGCAGTCATGAGTTTGAGATTTAAGCACTTCACAACCAGAGGGCATTTATGACCATTACAGCATCCTGTGGTTGCATGATTTCACATGTAAATAATTCTCAGCCATCATTTGACCAGACAGACAATGGACAAACCAGCAGTGAAATTGTGAAAGATAAAAAGTGAGTTATGATCAGTTTTCCCACTTATGACCATTGCAGCATCCCCACAGTCATGTGGTCAAATTAAGTGTTTGGTGACCAGTATATATTTACAATGGTTGCAGTGTCCTTCGGTCTTCAGATTTCTTTTGCAACCTTCTTAGGAAGCTTCTGACAAGCAAAGTCAAGGGGAGAAGCCAGATTTGCTTAAAGACCGCATGATTCACTTTCAGTGAGTCACTTAACAACCATGACCAAAAGGTCGTAAAATGGGGCATGAGTCACTTAACAACTGTTTTGCTTAACAATGGAAATGTTGGGCTCTATTGTGGTCGTACATCAAGGACTACCTGTATATGGAGGTGAGTGTATAAGTGTATATAGATAGATAGATCGATACAATATGTTTCTCGGAGCAGCTCACAGCTCCTCTTATTTGCAATCTCCAACTGCAGTGTTGAAAGATTGAATGTTTAATTAGCTTTGCTAAGTTGTCCTGGCAAGCTTACCTACTTATAACTAAATAGTCCTTATCTGAAACGTATAGTAGTTCCTTCCTCTGGAATTTAATCTTAATGTAATTCAAGCAAGTGTATTTGTCAAATCAAGTATTTCTAAAGTATTGTAGATAATCAAGAAAAACCATCAAAACTTGCTTAGTTTTGTAATTGCTGGAAGAAAACGCTATAAATATATGGCACATAAAATTCTTTTTAGGGACCTAAAGAATCTTAAAGCATATAATTATAAAGCACCCACCAGTCATAATTTATAGGATAATAAAGTTTACTAGTAAAAAATTTGCAGCTTTAATGCACTACACAGTTAAGTGTTTTATAGTGTGTACCTACTACCTTTTCTGAAATGTAATTTTGTTGATAGTATGTTACTAACATAATTATAATCATGGTTTCATAGAGAACATATATCTAATCTATAAAATATATTTAATGTAATAACCTTAAATAGGTTGCTGAAACATGCATTAAAAGAAAACAAATTTATTTCTTCTAGAATCATACCAGTGGGAATGAAATATTTTTGTTTGAAGTTTCCTATTTCCAATGTGCAGTGATATTCTTTTTATTTTTTTGTACCATCAAGAAAAAATCAGCACATGGTTTTCGCCTTGTGACAAACTCTTCACCCGTAGCAGCTATTTGTTTGCTCAGGCCATTTCTTCATACAGTTACTTGGATTTTTTCTCTCTTCCTGGATTATGGAAATTATAGCTATGTATTATACATTCAGTTTAACTGCATGTGAAAATTAAAGCTAGTTAACTATGTGAAAGCCATAAAATGTGTGCAGAGCCTGCAGGATTGTCTCTTGTGTATTTAATCATAAGTATATGCGGTGTGTAGTTGTGTGGCATTAATTTAGTATTTTCCTGAGTGGGAACTCTTGTACAAGGTTTTTTTTTCCTTCTCAAAAAAGATGAATAAGAGGCTGAGTATATAAAATAGTTGAAAAATAAATCTCTTTCCTTCCCAAAACATTTTTAATTGGAAATATGACTTTCTGTGTGTTTTTTTAAATGCTTGTTTTCTAATACTTCTACAGAATTGGCTAACTTGTATTGAAAAATAGTGTGTGAATGTTTAATATTGTGCTTTTATCTTCAGGTGGTAATGAGCAAGGAAATGGCTTTGCTGCCAGTACAGTACCTGCTGTCTCGGCTCCAAGTCAAAGAAGTACATCTTCAGACAAGTATGCAGCCCTAGCAGAATTGGACAGTGTGTTCAGCTCCACAGCAACCACTAGTAATGCATATACTTCCACTAGTAATGTTAGCAGGTACTGTTTCTTGATAAACGTTTCATGTAAATTTTTCGTGTTTAAACAAAGCAAACATAAAATGGCATCATTTTAATGTGCAAGGGTTTTTGAAATACTGTTACTTGAAAGCAAGATATTTTTGAATTCTGATCATCCATGACCCAACAAGAACAAACCATTATTAGAAGAGAACCATAGCTCATCTTCATCTCAAGAATTATATCACCCTCATATCTTACCCTGAAATGAGAAATATACTGTTGCCTGCAAAAATACAGGTAGTTCTCAACTTACATGCAAAATTGAGCCTAGAATTATGGTTGTAAATCATAGTGATCATTAAGCAAGGTACCCATACAATCACTTTTGTTACCAATCACAATCCATGCCTGCCCCCGCCCCCCCCATTGCGGTCATTAAGTTCAGCACGGGTTGGGTGAGGCCTTGGGAGACACCATTGTAGCACCTCCTCAACCCCCCTGGACCTTCCAGGTCCTCCTGAGGCACTTGTGCTTAGATTTCTCTCATATGATCTAAGAATTGTAGCTGCTCTCAGATTGGGCCTACTTCTGGTATGGCATCAGATGCCTCTGAATACTGTAGGAAGGGCGTGGCGGATTGGCCTGTTCTTCTCAAATGTGATCTTCACAAAAGGTAAGACACGTGACAGCAAGTAAGAAGAGGAGGCCCAAAGGTGTATTGGGACACAACTGGCTGGGAAAGAGTGCCAAGGGATGGGATGCCTGGTGGGATAGGGAGGAAGATAGGTGGGTGGGCCCGATGTTGTGTCTGCAGTTGTTTATAAGGGTAGGCAGATTGCCAAGCACCCTAATTTTGTTCACGTTTTCACAGGGTACTGCAGAAGCCATAACTTTAGATAAAGGTCAAAAGTCCCTTTATTTTGAATGCCATTGCAATTTCAAATGGTTGCTGATCAAACAGCCTTAAGTCGAGGACTACCTGTAGTAGCTCGAAAGCTTACCAAAAAATACTGTCAAAAATACTGTCAAGTTACTTTCTTGGAACAAACTTAGAAACTATACTTTCAAGATTAATCATTAACATTTCTAATATCTTAATTACATTTTTATGAATGCTAATATTTATAATCCTCTTTTAATCTTTAATCTTAGGAAAATCCATGCCATCTTTAATGAAATTCTTGTCATAAAATGTAACTTTTGTTCTGAATTTAATTTCTTACCAGTTTCTTTATTTTCTATGCATGTTATTAGTTACCTGGGGATCACAGTTTTCAATTGTATTTAACATCATTTTGAAAATGATTGCAAATCAAACCAGATTGTCTCTTAAATTAACTTAAAATGGATTTTATGTTTCCATGTAGAGTGATTAGCTGTAAATGTACAAATGTTGTACAACTGATGAATATGAATTATTTTTAGTAATGCTTTTGGAACAGTTCCAGTTGGTGCTAATACACAGACGCAGTCTACATCATCCGGTGTTCCTGCTCAGTTTGGAGGTATTATATTACTAATCTTTCTAAACAATATCTGATAGATTCACTTTGCATGATTATATTTTAGCTTGTACCCATCACTAGGTATAATAAATTAAATTTAAACTAAGACTACCTCTGAGACAGTTTGTATCTGTTCATGATCTAAGCCAGGGTGCTTTATATAAGAAACAAAATGGAGAGACTTCTAGTGGAAAAATGACAATTTATTGTTTCCAACACTCTTGGAGACAAGGTCATACATAGATGGCTTTGGTCACTGCACAGCAGGAGGCCTTCTTTTTTCTTCCAGATTGAAGGAGGAAACCAGAAGTTGGCCCATTTGTCTTCTGGATTGTGACTCCTTGAGAGTAAATTGTGAAAATAGGTTTCTTTGATTGACATGAGTTGAGTAATAGGAGGTAAAATCTCCATCAAGTTCACACTGCAGTGAAGCTGAATTTATGGACACCTTTGCAGTTATGGAGAGACTTAATTTTTGGAGCAGATTTAATATTTCATTTTGGTGGCTGTATTTCTGGAACTACATTTAGATAGAAACATTGGAAATTTATACTTTCTAGACTTGCAAAAAGTTGGAAATTAAAGAGACTTAAATATTCAAATAGAAAGAATTTTATTTTTGAAAGACTGAAGAAGAGCAACAGAAGAATAGGACTTAGGTATGCTCATAGCAGATGACTGCAAAATAAGTAAAGAGTGTGGCCAGTTAGTTGTGAAGGCAAACAAATTCTGGGATGCATCTCTAGAGGAACAGGAAAAAAGAGATCCAAATCCTGCTATATAGGGCTTTAGTCAGATCCCATTTAGAATCCTGTATCCAGTTCTGAACAACCCTCTTTAAAAAGATATTGATAAGATTGAACAAATCCAGCGACTGGCAACAAAAATGATGCAAAGTCTGAAGGATAAAACATATCAGGAAAGATTAGAGGAACTGAATATGTACACTCTGGGGAACATGATTGGAACCTTTAAATATATAAAGGGTGTGAATTACCAGTAGGTACTAGAAGGCAGTATTTTCGTTATTAAGCAGAAATCAAGAACAAGGGGACATAACCTCAAAGGCACAGGAGGGAAATTCAGAAGTAATGTTAGAAAGTATTATTTTGCAGAAACAGAGGGAAGTTGGAACCAATTTGCAGCAAAGGTAGTGGGTCAGTCATCAGTGAGTTTAAACATGCTTGGGATAAACACGCCTATCATCTGACAAAAAAATACAAATAAAACTAAGTATTAAATAAAAATAAAAAATAAACAAAAAACATTGCGCTGTGGTGGTACAGTGGCAAGAATGCAGTATTGCAAGCTAACTCTGCCCATAGCCTGGGGTTCAATCCTGACTGGCTCAAGGTTGACTCAGCCTTTTATCCTTTTGAAGTTAGTAAAATGAAGACCCAGATTACTAGAGGGCAATATGCTGGGATTCTAAACCACCCAGAGAGTGCTGTAAAACACTATGGAGGAGTGTATAAGTCTAAATGCTGTTGCTAAAAATTCAAAAGGACAGACTTGATGGTCCACGTGGTCTTTTTGTGCTGTCAGTTTTCTGTATTTGCATTGTGGCATTACAGTTTGAAGTTCTGAATGGCATTGGGGTTTTTTTTAATTATTATTTTCTCTACCTTGCCACTGATTGGTTGGATTTATAAACAAAGGATTTCCTTTTTTTGAAAGAGTAAATAAAAAAATATCTTGTGTGGGAAATCTATCTTGTTTACATATCAATTGTAAAACAAAGGTTGATTACTACAGTACAAAATGGCTACTTTAAAGGAAATATTTGATTTATTGACTTGTGAAGTGCCTGAATTTTTTAACTCTTTACTGCAACCAGAAGTTATTACTAATGATGAATATATCACACTTAGACAACAAAGATGGATTCACTGCACTTACAAATGCAACTGGAAAATCATTCAAAAATTGAAAATAAATTTGGGTATTGCGCTTTCAATTTGAAATATAAGAGATTTATTGTAGTTACTTCATGGAAACTAGAAATGGGCTTAAAAGATAATAAGAATTTCAGGGAGAAGAAGAAAAGATACAAGAAGAAATCAAGAGTCAGAATTTTATTTATGGAATGTAAGCATATTTGAGAGAAGGAAGGAAAATATATTAAATTAGTTATAGATGGTTATGGTTGATGTGTTGAATGGTTGTCTAAATTGGATAGTGTTTCTTTTGGAAATGTCTATTGGAGTAATGGATTTGTTTTTGATACTTAATAAGATGGTCATTTTTTGTTATGTAAATGAAATGGAAAAGGAGTTATATATTGTTATTAGATATTTTTGTTAATTTTTATTGGATATTTACTCATTAATAAGGAAGCCATAGATTTAAAGATGAGTTTATAGAAATTGGGGTGAGACATGGAATGAAGAGGTAATTTGGTTGTATTTTAAAAGCTAGTGATGTTAATGAAGCTACTTTTGGGCTTATTGAGAAAAACTAAAAGAAATTAATTTTGATTTTTAGAAATAATGAGACTTTTAAACTACGAGTTGGATGTATTTTTTATCTATATCTGTATAAAAGAAAGAAACCAGGTTCTTTCTTTTTTTCCTCTTTTTGTACTTTTTTGGATTTTCTACCTGATTTTTTTTTTTTCCTGCTTGTTCACATTTGTTCATATTTATTAAATTTTAATAAAATTAGTTCTTTTAAAAAATGGGCAATTTGTAATGATGATTTAATCTTTGTAAACTAAGTGATGGACTTTTGTATTCTTCAGCTCCTGCAAGTAATGATTTGATTTATTCCACAGCTGATAACTATGAGATCCTAATTCAGATAAAATGCAAAACTATAGTTAATTCCAATTTCCTTTTTGCTCAGGTATCAGTCTTGTGTCTAAGTTGGTGTATTAAGCAGACTATGATAAAACTACCTCATTGATTAAAATATAACTTAAAACTGATTTGCCATGCTGTTGATATAAGCACATTTGTAAAAACCATATCCTTTTCTCAGTGTCAGTGCTTCATTTTTCAGCAACACCATCCACAAATCCATTTGTGGCTCCACCTGTAGCTGCAGTAGCCGCATCAACAAATCCATTCCAAACCACCAACCGAGGAGCAGCAGGTTAGGAAAAATATATCTACAGTTATGTTTGATAGCAATTTTTGTTCTATTTTTGACAGGTGAACATAACTTTGTGGTATAGTTAATGTACTAAAGATGTTCAAGTAGTTATGAAATCTCATGGGCGTTAGACTTATCTTTTTGGGTTGAACAGTTATGAATAAGCAATATAAATAGATCAACTAAATCCTTTTAATTGCTTTTTGAAGGTTGAATCTATTTAATAACATGTTTGTAATTTAGGCACTTGGGCTACTCTTGTAGAACCCTTTAATATTTGAATTTGTTTTTACAGATTTAACTTTGATATCATTTATTCTTTTATTTTTGGGGGACACTTATGTGTTGTAAAGCTAATAATTCTACACTGCTGGTTAAAACATTTATTTTAGTGTTTTGAGAAATAACTTAAAAAAATTAATGAAATATTTTGAAGTTTTTATAAAGTGATTACATGTTATCAACTGAAGAAGTTGTTTATAAATAAATTGACAATATCTGGTCTCTTTGTGACTTCTCATAAGGCCTTTCAGGAGCAATTCACTCTCATATATTTCCTCAGGCTCACTTTGGTAGGTGGCCACATTTTATATAAATTTCAGGTGGCTAATTTTTTATTTGCTTGTGAAAGCTTACTGCAGTTACAAGTTCCTTTGCATGTACAACTTTTTCTACCTTCCTTCCATATTATGAAATGGAGTGGGCATGGATGGTGATTGACTATAAATATACATTAACACATTACTTGTTGTAAATTTAACACTTCAGTCCTAAGCACGTGTATTTAAAAAATATGACATTAATTTAATTGGGACTTGCTGTCAATTAAGTGTGCTGTCAATTAAGTGTGCTTAGAGTTGTGAGCTAAAGTTGCTACATTTTACCTCCATGGTCACATATGTAGAACGTTTAAAATGAGTTTTGAAGCTTGTACCCCTAATACTTTTAGTAATACTAATGATGTCAAACCATTGTACCTTGTCACAATGTGTTTGATTTTTCTGTATTAGCAAATACAGTTAGTTATCTTCCCTGCTAATAATGGCTTGTGTAAGCTTTGTTGGTCTCCTATCTGTATCTTGTCTATTTTATATTTGTGCACCTATTTATTCCACAATAAGCGCTTTCATCATGTCTTTCTTGACTAGCCATAAATATTGATTGATGGATGTGTTGATAAAGTTATGCCAGATCTCTAAAACATAATTTTTATATGAAAAAATGCTTCAATAGAGTAATTCTCAATAATTGTACACCTGAAGCTTTTGATTATATATCACAAAACTCTGCAAAATTTTAAATTGTTCATTTCTAGGTTGTGTCACATGTATAATTATTGGATAATATCCTTTACATACTCTATTCAAAATTCAAGAAAGTGATTAATGAACATTTTTGTTTAATTTCACCCTTTCAAGAAAAAGAAAAATAGTGTTAGTTGCAGTTTTAAGAATGAATATTTATTGATGTAGTCTGATTAAGTGGAATTTGTTTCTTGGTCCATGCTGTGAACCAAAGAGAATTTAGTTTGCAGCTGAAGCAGTTTATTAGAATTTCTACAGTGTTCTAACTTTTTATAAGGATTGCTTTGTAAGAATTGCTTTTTCTTTAGTGAGCTACATGATTTCATGATGCTCTAGACATTTTTTATGCTCTTTAATTATTCTCTATTAAAATCATCAAAAATTAGTGTTTGTGTTATTTAGCCTTCCTATTTCCCAAAAAATGAAAATACCTTCAACAAGGTACTGGCAAATATTATATCAAAGGAACAGTCCAGACAGTTTTGGCTATATGTCAATAAAATCTAGAAGTTTAAGGCTAGCCATGTGACTGGTTGCTTCACAAAGAATTCTGCCAAAATGCTTTTTAATGTGACGTTTGAACACAAAAAATTGATTCCTATTGTTTCTTTCATCAGCAACAACATTTGGCACAGCTTCCATGAGTATGCCTGCAGGATTTGGAACAACTGCCTCATACAGTCTTCCTACTAGCTTTAGTGGTAACTTCCAGCAGCCTGCATTCCCAGCTCAGGCAGCTTTTTCTCAGGCTGCTTTCACTCAGCAACCTAATGGTAAATGCTTGCATTTTACATTTTGTTTCAAGAGTACAGTGGTTATTTTAAAACAATTCATTTTCCTGGTTTATCTTTGAAACTTTTATTTGCCATGTTTTCGTTGGTGGGCCAATGAAATAATGTATTGCATGTATAAATGTAACTGGTAATGTACAGGCAGTTCATTTAGTGCATTTGAAGTTACAACAGCACTGAAAAAAGCGACAGGACTGTTTTTTATAGTTACAACCATTGTGGCATCCCCATCTTCACATGATCAAAATTCAGATGCTTGGCAACTGACTCCTATTTATGATGGTTGCAGTGTCCTGAGTGATGTGATCACCTTTTGCCATCTTCTGACAAGCAAAGTCAATAAGGAAGCCAGGTTATTTAGCAATCATGTTACTAACAACTGCAGTGATTCACTTAACAACTGTGGCAGGAAAGGTCATAAAATGGGGCAAAACTCACTTCACAACTGTCTCACTTAGCAACGGAAATTGTGGTCATAAGATGAGGACTACTTGTATAGGGAAACAACTGTGAAAAATCACCTGATCAGACTGTATGCATATTATTTATTTTTATTTATTTAAACGTTTGTGAGCCACACCAGCTTTGGGTTTGTTCAGCAAAGCTAAAAACATCAGCACTAAAGTATAATTAAATAAAAACTATAGTAACAAAGCCATTATTTTGGTCTTAAAAGCTTGCCAAAGTGCAAGTAGGGAAAATGTATTTCAAAGTGGGAGGCTATCACAAAAAAGACTTGTCACCTTGTCTGATTTTAGAAGAGTTAGAACACATGGCCAGAATCATTTGGTCCATATATAATTTATATTAAAACTTTACACAAGATTAAAAACCAATAGTGAGTAATATAAATTCAGGAAGGAAAAAAAGAGAGAGCAAGGAAGGAAGGAGGGAGGGAAAAAGTACAAGAAAAAATTAGGGGAAAAAATTTAAAAGATAAATTCACAGCAGTTATTACAAATATATTTTAATGAAACTCAAATACTTCAGCCACCAAATGAAAAGAAAGAACTCATTAGAAACAGCCCTGATGTTGGGAAAGATTGAAGGCAAAAGGAAAAGGAGACAGCAAAGTATGAGATGGTTAAATAGATGTGTCATCGACACGGTGGGTATGAGTTGAGCAGACTGAGAGTGACAATGGAAGAAGGGCCTGGTGTGCTGTGGTCCATGGGGTCACGAAGAGTTGGACACGACTTAGTGACTGAATAACAACATACAGTTAATTATTTTAATCTTTCTATAATCTATCCTGTCTAAATCATTAAAACCATATATCACAAATTCATTTTTTTCCTTTTTACACAAAATGTCCATAAGAGGCTTTCAGTTGCCAATAAATGTAGATGATGACTTTTCAGAGCCAAGGTGGCGCAGTGGTTAAATGCAGCACTGCAGGCTACTGCTAGATCAGCAGGTCAGCGGTTCAAATCTCACCGGCTCAGGGTTGACTCAGCCTTCCATCCTTCCGAGGTGGGTAAAATGAGGACCCAGATTGTTGGGGGCAATATGCTGACTCTCTGTAAACCGCTTAGAGAGGCCTGAAAGGCCTATGAAGCGGTATATAAGTCTACTGCTATTGCTATTGCTATTTTCTCTGATCAAAAACGTCAAGTTTTTCACTTCAGCAAAATCTGTCAACTTCATCAACTGTAGTAGTGTCAACTCCATTCTATGCTGGATATTGTTCAATCTTTCCATCTCTATGCCAATAGTGATATTTCCAAATAATCATATATTGAAGTAATGTTATCTGATGTTATTTTCTGTTTATCCATTAATTTTAAAAGGAACAACAATCACATTTGGCAACCCTGATATGTCCCAGTGCTAATTTGTATAGAGTTTTATAGGTAATTTTGAATTGTCCCACAAGCATATTAACGTTCATTCAGTGACTACAAATTGGTATAACACAATTTCTACTGCAGCTTAAGTAGGAGCTGCAAGTCCAGGAGTACTGTTAAAGCTGTCATGAAACTGATGTTACTGAATCGCCTAGTTGTTTATGGACAAGATTTGAAAAGATTTTAACTTATTTCTCCAAATCTAATCTCTAACAAGAACTATTTCAGGACATGTATATCATCTCCAGTTTAGTCTAAAGTGGCAATGTTCCATTGAGGGTCACCTGCATATCAATGATGCCTCATTCCAAAGCCATAAATGACCACCTATAGGAAGAAAGAGAGAGAAAATGTATGTTGCTAAGCAAGGTAGTTGTTAAGTGAGTTTATTTAGGAACTTTTTTTCCTCAATTGTTAAGTGTATCACTAGTTTTTAAGTGAATCATGCAGTTATTAAGTGAATCTGATGCTGACTTGGAAGGTTACAAATGGTGATCACATGACAGTGCAACAGTCAGAAATACATGTCAGTTGCCAAGTGACTGAATTTTGATCATATGAGCATGGGGATGCTGCAACAGTCATAACTGAAAAACAAGACACTTTTTTCATTAATGTAACTAAATGAATGGTTATAAGCCATTCATTTTAATTTACTGTTAATATATTTTAATATATGGGATCCCATTTTGATTGGAATAAAACATTTAATTGATTGTTTAACTGATTTGATTGAAAATATTTAATTCAGTGATAAAGGGACTGATTTTGGGGAATGAAGTTTATGCATGATGTGATATTTGACATCTAGTCTAGAAGTAATTTTTGGTATTTTATTGCAAAGGTACTGGCTTTGCTGCGTTTGGACAGGGAAAATCAGTAGTAACCCCATTTGGACAAGTTACAGCTGTTGGAGTCGCCAGTAATCCTTTTATGGTAAGTGAATACTATGGGTCAGATTTATGGGTTTCTTAATTCATATACATATCTTGAGAAATAGGTTGTCCTCAAAAGGATACAAAAAAGGGAATATTAACCCCCACCCACCCCTCAAATCCTAAACCTGCAACTTTCTCTGGGATATTTTAGATTATTTATATTTAATCTTTTATTTAATTCTATCTTATGTATAATATGATCCTCATTTAATTGAAATTGAAAAATTGCATCATCTAAAAACAATGTTAGGAGAGTTAAATGATATAAATAGGATTCTAAAATGTTAATTAATTTAAATAATTTAAAGAGACTGTTTTGTTTTTCATCAATCTTGAGAGGCAGAGAGAATAAAAACCTATCATTGAGAAAAAATAATTTTGATAGCTGTACAGAAATATAGTTTTCAAATTTGAAATGATATGTGTATATAGTCATTAATATATATATACACACACACACACACACACACACACACACACACACATACTGTGCACAGCAGAAATAAAAGCACTATCAGTGACATTTCTGTTTCATGAATTATTCAAACTCTTGCAAGTATTCATATAATTTATATTTGAAATTGGTTTGTCAAGATGTATGTGTAATTATTTCTTCTTTTTCTTTTAGGCAGGAACAGCAACGGGGCCTTTTCCAGCAGGAAGCTCATCAACCAATCCTTTCTTATAGCCTTATAGACACTTTACTTAAAAGAACTCTATGTGATCACATAACATCTCTATGCCTCTTGCACTGTTGTCTTGTTTCACTGACCTTAGCTTTAAACACAAAATAAGTCTTTCAGAAAAAAAAATAGTCTGCGTTGTGTATTAAAACCAAGGAACACCAGGTGATGTACAAAACATGGAACTGTGGTAACATCCTTTCTTGTGCAATGGCAGGAGAATGTTAATAGTATCATGTATATTAAAATTGGCTAATATTAAGTTATTGCAGATATCATTCATTATGCTGCAGTATTGTACATATTTTTCTCTTAGGAATTAGTTATTTGTGCATATCAGTATTTGTAACTTTTAACACACTGTTATGTGAAAAACGTTACTGGGAGAAATAGATCAGCCAGTTTAAGGTGCTGTCATATATCTTGGAATGAATGGCCTATATCATTTTAACATTGCTTGTTGGGATTTATGAATTCAGAACTGAAGTTTTATTCATTTCTTGAAGTGTTTTTTTCCCTTTCCTGAAGAGCTCTTCTATTTATACATGCCTAAATTCTATATAATGTGGAGGGATACCTGTCTGCATAATAAAGCTGATCATGTTTTGCTACAGATTGCAGGTGGAAAAAATAAATATTAAAAAAGTTTGTTGTTGTCAGCATTTGCACTAACCAATTTTATTAATTTTCAAAATCATTGACAAAATTTTGAGATGGCATTATTTCTTTGGCTGTTTCAGTAAGGTTGCAAATTGTTAACAGTACATCCTGTTAACAATAGGAATGTACCTACTGATCAATCAGTAAGATATGAAATTGCCTTTATTTTGAAAACTGTCTAACAAATTAACTTAAATTGTGTAGTACAGAATATATTTCATTTCATTTATTGTTTAAATGTTTCTTCATTTCATCTTGTGGTCATTGTTCATTCTTATTACTGAAAACAAATTGGTAAGATTGATTTTGCAGCATTATTGAAACCAAACAGCCAGCAAATACTTAATAAAACCAAACTTTAGTTTTGGTATGGATGTACATACTATGGATTTTGAATGAATATCGTGCTCCTTACCAGTAGAATTATTGTTCAGTTATTTGCAAAGTAAATGCCATGGTAGCATATTTATTGATGAAGGCTGATTGAACAATGTTTCTGTAGATTTTAGGTAATTTGTAACGCAAATACTTGATGTTTGTCAATAGAAACACATATTTTGTATGCAATTATATTTTCGGTGGCAAATATAAATCCACACACAGTGTAATACTGACACAGGCCATTACTTCATAAAATTAAGTGACTTGAAGATTTGAACCAAGATGATATACCATGCTTTTAGAGTGCATTGATACAGAAAAGATCTGAATTTCTCTCAAAGGATGGTTGATTAATTGGGAGGGAAAGGTGCTTGTAGTATTTAAACACATTGCTTCAGATTGTCATTAGCATTAATCTGGGATATAAAAATAGTACTTAATATCCTTGCTAGTGGACAAGGCTATTTGGAACATTGAAATAGCACATCCCTACATATCCTATACTTTGGGTAGAATGTAAAGTACTGTAAAGTAAAGGATTTTTCAAAAAGTTTCCTCTAAGATTTTCAATAGGAGGATGGAAATTAGGGTGGAGAGAATATGTTTGGTAAATTACCAGTTTCTGTCTGGAATTACGAGGTTAGTGGATTTCTGAATTTTCTGTAGCCTTTTTGAGAGATAGCTTAAAAGGCAAACAGAATGTTATGTTTGGATGTCTGCTACCCTGTGTTAGTGCTGAATTGTCCCCAAAAGGCAATTTTATGTGTTCCGGTATATGCAACATTTGTCTTAGTTTCAGTGAGTGCATCTTGATGAAAAGGTGAATGGAGTCAGGTTAAAAACTTTCTAGTCATTTTAAATCATGAAAAAATATGTCATTTTCATATATACAGACATTAATTTGCAGGAATTTGGGTGAGTGAATCCATGAAATTGCAATTAAAAGTTTTCACCTGTATACAGAATGTGGCATAGGAATCAGCAAAAAAACCCATTTTTTAAAAATAATAATTGAAGAACCTCAGTTATTTAATGGAATAATAATTCTGTAGAAGAATGTTTTTAACTCATCCTTGGTACTGTGTTTCCACCTTCTTTCCCCTCTTAGACTGCCGTTGGCTCTGCTGGGGAGAATGGGAATATAATGCATTCACTTAGATGCCTTGAATTTTAAGAACAGGAATTTTCCTTTTCTGCTGCTTTTCATTTCTAAGTTTTTTTAAAAAATCATTGTATCAGTGCTTAAGGATAAGGTGGTATTTTTACTGTTGAACTTAATATAATTCTCATGTTGAATTTTTGTTTCAGGTGATAACAAAAGACTTTTCTATGCTTTTTCTAGAAATTATTTTCATTCTCTGAGTAATATTTAAATTGAACAACTGTTTTTTTTTAAATTGAAATTAAGTGTGTGTATATTATGAATAAAGCAGCCTTGCAGCATGTAACTGCAAGCACCAATTGGCATAGTACTGTTTGATAGAGATAATCCTGGAATTCACACAGTGGCAGATGAATAAATCTGAGATAACAGTACAATACCCATCCTCATTGAGCTCCCCAGTAAAAAATGTCCAGTCAGTTAAATGGAATCTAACATGGATCCACATCTTAATGGGCATAAAGCATTTCTGCAAAAAATTTGCTAATATAATTTTGACTGTTGCATCAGATGAAATTTTCAGGAATTTTATACTGTATACTGCTATATTTAGTATTTAAATATTAGAGGTCTGGTTTTTTTAAAGCCCTCTGTTCTGGTATTCAAATTGGTGACTAGGCAATTGTATTATATTTTAATTGGGCTTTACTTTGCCACTGAGAAGCTTGCATTTCCAGTACTGTGTACCCATTTTTTTAAAAAATCAACTGTGTCTTATTGGAGATCTTACTTCCTGAATGGTTACATTAAATACATTTCAGTGTGAGGTAAGAAATTTGCAGTGTTTTTAAAAAGTCAGATATATAGCTAGAAAACAAAAACAGAAAATCCTTATCCATGTTTCAAATGATTTAGTGAGAGTATCTTTTTTCATACTTATGAAATGATCTATACTATGATTAAAAAAAATTCAACGTAGGGAAAATTCTTTTTTCCAAACAGGTAGACCTCTACTTATGACCACAACTGAGCCCACAATTTATGGTGTTAAGTAAGACATTTATTAAGTCAATTTTACCCCATTTTAAGACTTTTCTTTCCACAGTTCAGTTCAGTTCAGTTGCGTTTATTTATAGGCCGCCCTTTTCCCTGAGGGGACTCAGGGCGGCTAACAACTTATGGGAGGGGAAGACATACAATGACATAAAAACACAGTATATAGTTAAAATCAAACAACATTCATTCAACATTCGGGCGGGGGCAAATTATGGTCTTTACCCCCAGGCCTGGCGGGATAGCCAGATCTTGAGGGCTGTGCGGAAGGTCTGAAGGGTGGTGAGGGTACGAATCTCCACGGGGAGATCGTTCCAGAGGGTCGGAGCTGCTACAGAAAAGGCTCTCCTCCGCGTAGTTGCCAGCCGGCACTGGCTGGCAGATGGCACTCGGAGGAGGCCCAATCTGTGGGATCTTATGGGTCGAGAGGAGGTGATTGGCAGGAGGCGGTCTCCCAAGTACGCAGTTAAGGGAGTCACTGCAGTTGATAAGTTAGTAACCCAGTTGTTAAGTGAATATGGCTTCCCCATTGACTTTGCTTGTCAGAAGGTCACAAAATGTGATCATATGACGTTGGACACAGCAAGGGTCATGAATATGAACCAGTTGTCAACATCAGAATTTTGATCACATGATCATGGGGATGCTGCAAACGGCGTTAACTGAAAAACTGTTATAAGTCACATTTTTCAGTGCTGTTGTAACTTTGAACGGTCATTAAATGATCGTTGAGGATTACCTGTATAATTTGGAGTTCATCTTCTGAAATAGTGGCATGCACTCTGTATTCCCCACATGTTATTTTAAATTCCTTAGTGGACTCTGTTTTTTAATCAGATCCTACGTTTTGTCCAAATGCATACATTTTATTATTAGCTTTAGGTTTTATATAACTTTTATTATATACTATGCAGTATATTATAAATTCTGTTGAGTTCAGCGGAAATTACATTTTAGGTTGAGGTGGATTCCCCAGTTTTTAAATACTTTTGCGTTTTTATTTTCCAGACATAAAGATCAAAATCTCTGCAAGGATTAAGCATCTATTTTGCGCCCCTTGCTTTCTATATTGCCAACAACATTCTCTGTGTTTTTATTTTATATTATTTTAAAACCTATTTTATTATATGCCACTCAGAATCAGTTATGTAAGCAGGTAGTTATATATAATAAATCAATTAAGTAAATAACCAATTCTTGCAAAGTACTTTGAAAAAGGAACGTGAAAGTGCAGTCCTTAGTTAGGATTCTTTCTATTTTAACAGATCATTATTATAGACATTAAGTTTGCAAATTAAGTTTGATAATATGCATATTGCAATAATTTCAGGATAGGAGATATTTAAATATGTTTTCCTAAACTTAAAACAAAGAACAGAATGAATCAGTCCATGTGAGAACATACTATGTTTTAAGGGTTTTTATTATAAAAATTAAAATACTATTTCTTAATAGATTGCATCATTTCCCCATACATCAGAAAGTACAATAATCTGTAAACTTCAATTTTCTCACCACGTTTTATAATGGATGACTTTTTCCCAGCACTTCAAAGATTTTTCTACCTGATGTTTATAATAAAATAGTGCCATCATTTTATTTTACTTTTATTTATTTTGAGTATTTGTGTGATCAAGGCAATTAGCAAATACAATTAAACTACATAATATTAAAACAAATTTCTCAAAAATATTAATCCAAACTATTTTAAATGTTTGAAACAAAATTATTAAAAGACATGTATAAACAAGCATGTTTTGAGCTTTCCTTCCCCACCAGTTTAAATGAGGGAGAATTGTTTCTCGTGGCAGTTTATTCCAGAACAAGGAAATTATAAAAGCAGAATTTACTATGAATGTAAAATCTATCCATGGAGGGAGTAGCAAAAAATGCTCAAAGATCTGAGACTGAACAGGAAATTAGACTGAATAAGATATCCTGTAAACTTTGTCCTAAGCTTTGTAGTGCTTTATATACACTTAGAAGCATCTTTAAATAGGCTCAGAAGTAACCAATATCCAGTAAAATGGTTTCTGTGAGGGTATCTTTAGCTTTTTCAATACACACATATCTTGTAATTCATAGAATATATTCTAGTTTGTGCTTTTTAAAAAAGAAAAATAAGAAAATTACATAGCCAATGAATGTTTGTGAAAATATTAAAGCAGGTTAAAATTAAGAAAGTCTTCTTATTACTAGAAAGGAATATGAAAAGAATAATGGGAACAACAAACAGACTGGAAACGATGACAGTTCTTTGGAGCAGACCAGTTTGATCAATAAAAAACCTTCAGGGTGATGCCAAAGATGAAACACAAGAGAGTCCAAAAGTGAATCTCTACATAAGCTTCCATTCTAATTATTTCTCCTAGCAACTAATAAGTTGAGGAGGCTCAATGAGACAATGTATATAAACATTGTTTTTTATCAGTTTCAACATGAGGGTGCTGTGGGCCCTGGGAGGTACTGCTTACCATACAAGCTGCTTGATCCAGGGCCAACCACATGTTCAGACTATTCTCAAAAGTGACCTGATAAGCACAGTGCACTTATCCATCCACTAAGAATTTCACAGAATTATAATGCTACCTATCTGCAAAACACATAAGTGAGCAAAAATAATAAAGATGGGATATAAATAAATACATTTCCATTTTTTTTCTGAGCATAGTACATGCATATCTCTTCCTAAGGAAACAATCTATTGCCTAGAAATGACTTTATTTACTACCATCTTTATTAAAGGCTTAAGCTAATGGTAGAACTTAACCTGAAACAAAATCTGTTCTGTTTTGAACCCCAAACATAACCCACTCTAGAGGTTCTGCAGTATTATCCCTGCAGTTCCCAATATAGCATTATCCACCAATCCTTCCTTTCCTTAAATCTGTAGCGCTCCAATTCTCACTGAATAACATCTGAAGAGCTTGAGCCAAAATAATCAATGGGTGAGTTATAGTTCTATAATGG